TATTTGGCCTCTCGTCAGTGCAAGATGGTTCCTACATCAACACGATGTCGATGATTTTCTATAATTAAAAACCAAATTCTTTCACCTCGAACACAGCTGAAGCGAAGTCAAGCAGCATATCCGTCATCGCCTCCTCTGCCTGTTGACGAGGTATTAACGAACCGCATATCCGAATGGCTCAAATTTTAGTTTGAATTTGGGACATTTTTTAATACCAAGATGGGGGAGTGAAAATCAAAATGAATTCATTTGGAAGAGCTTGAACTGGTTTTGAAATGTTTTTATTTATTGTAAAAGCTTACAAACATGTTTGACAAAAAAACAATTCAAAGTTTAATTTCTGAAAACTGGTATTCGAGTTGTACATATTCATTTCATACAAAAAAATATCTGTGTGCATCAAAATCTCCAGTGAAAAAGTCTACTTTAATTTTGCAAAATACTGTCTTCATATCGTATGAATGCTCAGTCTCCCGAATGTGCCACCATTTTTCAAAACTGTCAAGCTGAGAAATGCTTGAGAACTTCTCAACAGTATTTAATTGATAGCATAATTAAGTACTCAACTTCCGTCAAACTTAGTAATTGGAATTAGTGGAGTAGTGTTTTGTAGGTAACTATTTGAGGCGGCTCCTTGTTGAACAATATAAAGACACATTACATTTAATCACATTAAAGTTAGTCATATAGCACCATACAACATTCAAGAGAGTTTGCTCAAAGACTTTTCAAACCGACATTATCAATGCTCTTTAAGCAGATTAGTTTTTGAAAATAAATACGTTCGCAGTCCTCCATAATGAGAATTTCATGAGGAGTTAATTTTATCTCTACTGAGGTTTCGCTAGGAAAATTCTTTTTATCCACTCTTTTAACTTCAAAACAAGACAGATAAAATGCTGTCTGCTTCCTATTTTAAAGGTGGGAACAAGGCAGAAAAAAAGGGCATGATGGAGCTTTTGGGGAAAAAGATCTCCGGAAATAAAATAGCCTCCCAATCTGATTTCCGGATGGGGGCTGATTCGAGGGTATCATCTTGAAGAGAGTAATAAAAAATCTATATATCCGAGTCTTCAGAGACCGGTACAAAAAAAACATGGTAACTGCTTGATAATACACCCAATAGCAATTTCTAAATCGATTTCTGCAACATCAGTTGACTAAACACATATACTAACGCCGTGCATCTACATCTGCAAACTGACGGTCTTCATATTATGACACCAAAACCAAAGATTCCTGATTTAGATATAGCTTTGAACTTTCTCTCTTCATCCGAAGTGAACGAAACGAATACTAAAACTTCAAAGCCGAAGCTTTTGCAATAGCAACGGTCTTACTCAGGAGAATTTGCCAGTCTTCTAGATCTGTACTTAACGATCAATCACGAACTTTACCGTTAAGTCTCTTTTATGGTAGACTGACTACGAACTAATTTCAGTTAAGAGTAAATTACCAACTAGTGTTGAAGAACAACTCAAATCATGCAAAATTTGGCATTACAAATCTGCTAAAAGAAAGTATCTTCAAGACCATTTTCGAATTTTTCTTCTGGCAATACGTTTTTTCTTAATATGATCATCCATCAACTTCTGCTTCTGAAGTAAAGTAAGTTATTCTATCAGGCATGGATTCAAATATTTCTTTTTCAATTAAGTGACCCAATAACGATAACGGATTTATGATTCAACAACAGACAACCCTGTTTGAAGGTGGTTGACAATGTTTCGTGGTGTATTTCATCAGTTCGGACTTCCATTGTCTAATATAATATAAATTGATTTGATAACCCTGAATATCAATCGTCTTCGGATGATAACTGGACTTATTCCTCCGAAATCCGACTATTTATAGGTCATTCGAGTGCTTTCACCTATCCCCTCTTTCCTCTTTCCGCTTCATTGGTTTTGGTGAGAGATGACTGTTTGGCGGGAGTTGGTCGTTTTTCGCTTGATTAGAGGTTTCCATATGTTACGTATCTCTACGCTAGCTTGACTAAATGCGTTGTTGGACTTGTATGGACTACCCAAAATCCACAAAAAAGGATGTTCCGCTCAGACCGATCATTACCTCCAGAGATTTAGCCACTCAAAACTTGTCCAGATTTTTACTACCAATAATTGAACCACTGCAAGTTAAAACTTCGTCTTTTGTGAAAAATTCATTTTTATTTTTCGTTTTTTGTTGATATTTTTGATTTTTTCAACTTTCATTAATGTTTCAATTTTTATTTGTTTGGTTGTTGTTGTATGTTATTTCTTTGTAATTTCAGTTTTTTGTTTAATAAAAAAATTATTATTTTCGGTTAATCTCTTTGATTTTTTTCAGGGTTATAAAATCAAATTGTATTAGATTAGACAATGGAAGTCCGAACTGAGGAAAAACAGACAACGCTGTTTCGACCCGCCATAGGTCTTATCAGTGATGCTAGGCTGAACAAGAAACGCATTGCTGGACACGATTGTCGTTTATCTAAATCAACAAGCATCACATACCGCTTTAAGAATCATCATAATAATCATAATAGAGCATTTATTGCCAACACTTACAACCATTCACAGAGTTATTCCATATGAGAAATGAAATTAATTACATGGATTAATATCCGCTGGTAATCAGAGAGCGGGCAGCCCCATAGCCCGGAGCCAGATTTGAATTCTTAACCCGATTCCATCCCAGGCCACATGAGACCAAAACCCAGCCAAAAATTGACTCACGCTATTGTACGCTTTTAAACAACTGAGAAGATGGACCACACCAAACAAATCACGAATCGCGATGCCCAAGGATCAACAGGAAGCCCAACTAAACACTAATATAGAATGAGAGCATTGTCACCACTTGTGAACCTATAAAACTAACAACTTATAAAAACCAGATGTGTAGTGTCGTCCAACAGAGATTTCCGAACTTTGACAATTGATAATGGCTATCTTCTTGAAACTACATCTGTCAAATTAGTTGTCATTTATTCAGTCTGTTTTCCCAATTAGAGTGTGTACATCGCTACGAAATCTTATTTTGTTAAACAAATATGATGGACATTTGTTAATCAATATTTTATGAAAGAGGGTAGCCGAGTGTAGAACACGTGTATTTTCCATAGTCAACCAATTGGTTTCCTTAAGTTCATATGAAATTCTGTCATATTTTCTAATACCATATATATACCTAAGGCATGATTTTTGAACTCTCTCAATTCATAAAATATCTTTTTTATCCAGGCATGAACCATACACAACATCACAATATGCAAAATGACTCAACACAAGAGCATTTGTTAATTTTATTTTCAAACTTATTGATAATAAATGACGATGAGGATAAAGCATTTTCAAACTTATGTAACTTCGTTGAACACATTTTGTGACATGTTTTGTAAACCTTAAATTCACGTCCATTTCGATACCAGAATTTTTTGACACGTTCGTGGGGCATATTACTGTATCACTAATCGTAGCTCCACCAAGCTACGATTAGTACCAAAAACAAGCAGATTAGTTTTGTTTGAATTAATTTTGAGGTTATGAGCTTCAGATGCTGAAATAAGACGAGCTGAATCTTCATTCAATTTTTGATTAGCAGTAGCAACGTCATTAGGGTTGAATGATAGATATAGTTGAGTATCATCCGCATACATATGTGAATTACAATGTCTTAAAACAGAAACTAGATCACAAGTGTATATGCAAAATAATAAGGGTCCAAGTATAGATCCCTGAGGCACTCCAAATTTAATAAATTCACTGCTTGATTTTCCCTTCGAAGTTTCTACAAACTGTGAACGATCTTTAACATAGCTTTTGATTAAATTTATAGCAGGTTCAGAGAACCCGATGAAGTTCAAAATTGCAAATAAAATTGGATAACTGATAGTATCAAAAGCTTTGGAGGAGTCTATAAGTATCAAAGCAGTCGTGTTACCTTTGTCTGCAGCTTCGAAAATATCATCAGTTATTTTCAAGAGAGCAGTTGACTGGTTGACTGGTAAAATATTAAAGGAATTTAAAAAGCATTTGATTTGAAAACTCATTATTTTTTCCAATACTTTTGAACAAGTAGGTAGCAGACTAATCGTCCTACGTCGACGAAACGCAAGATATACCGAAAACATCGCCGCTATCTGTGAGAGTGTGCATGAGAATCCAAAGCAGTCGATTTCGGCCTTCCGCAGATCACAATTTGGCAAATTTTGCATCATATCCCATACAGGATACAAAGGTGTGTGTTCGCTGCGCTGAATAGGCTCTGGAGCCCAACTTCAGTGATGATGCCCATTTCTGGATGAATGGGTAGGTAAAAAAACAAAATTGTCGAATTTTTGACGACATCAATCCACATGAGATCCAAGCGTTCCGTAAAAGTCACTGTTTGGTGTGGATTTTGGGTTGGCGGCGCCACCGGCACATATTCCTTTGGGAACGACGATGATTACTTACTTATAATGACGTGAAGATGATCTGGACACCAACGACATGCGGTTTCAACAGGATGGCGCTATGTGTCACACAACTCATGCAACATTAGATATTCTGCACGAGCGATTTGTGGGCATGGTCATGGTAGAGGCGATGTGAACTGGCCACCGAGATCATGCGATTTAATCCCGTTATATTCCACTCATAATGGCATCAATAGGTCTTTCAAACGAACAAAAAACTCCGATGATATCCCACACACACTTTGTTTTATTTGAATTTAAAGATACGAAGTGCTTAATGAAAGACCATATATGCCCTAATGCGGTTATACATGATTATTTCGTAGTGCTCATTCATTTCATAAACTGAAGTTTCCATATTCCGAATAGTGAATTCAACCTGTGCCGGAAACAACTTTAAAAATAAAACGTTTTTCGTGCGTCTGTTATCCCCTATAGATAATATCGTCATCCTGCGTTGAAATCTAATAAAAACGTTTGAGTATTTTTTCGTTTGCAGACCAATAAAACTGTCGGAGGATGTAAGCGAAAAGCGGCGGTTTTTCGGTGTCAGACTTACCGTTCAAGACATGTACCCTGACACTTGCGACATCTGCGTTGGAGGGACTGCAGGAATATTTTCCGGAGTCCGATATGTCAGCGTGCTGGATTAGCAGGAAACTCGTAGTCACATCGCCTTTCTCAGTTATAACGCTCACTCCACCACGGCTGGAGTCGTAGCTTATCACCTGCAACAACGGAAAGTACATTTGCACAAGCTGTAACACTGGTGTTATGTGCATTGGATTATCAGTCAAAAAATGTTCGTTCCTCGTGTATTAGACGCCGTGTTGATATTATCGTACAAAAAACGACCCCTCGATAGATAGATAAAGATAATTTATTTCAAATCGTTTACAATAAAATTGTTTGGTACATGTCAATGGAAGAACAAAAAGAGTTGAAAAATCATGCATACGAAAATTAAAAAAATATTTATATATGAGAAAATATCAATACCAATAATATTTAAAGTATTTGCCAGAAAAAACTAGTATAATAGGAAACATGAATGCATTAAAGACGTTTCACGAAACTCATAGTTACTATGAAAATAATAATAATTACTTATTTATAATGATTGACGATTTATGAATAGATTGTAAAACTACAGAAGTAACTATTTCTCTGTGCGTGGTGTATATAGTTGTGAATAATGCTTGAATAATAAGACAAATAAACAATATTAGTATATCATACAATGATCATGACCGGGATATGAAACGAGACGAAGGCTTCATGCGAGTGTATTAATAACCATTACATGAGAGTAGCATACGCTATCTTCTCTACACCTGATAAATCATGAGGAACTATAAATAATGGGGAACTATAAACGTGAGTGCTTTGTTCACTCAGTCAATCGGCCGATGTGTGACTCGATGGTTCAAGCCGCAGGTAGAACGCTCGATTTTCACTCGCTATCGTCCAACCCGTGTTAGGAATTCCACGTTGAAAGGTAATACCTCGTTAGTCCTTAGCTCGAGCTAAGTTTCGACTTCTGAGGGTTGTCGTTCGTAGGAGTGCGATAGCTGGTTAACGGAAAAAACATATGTTGAACATATTTTTATATTTGTATTGAACACAATAACAGTATTTACTGGTATTTCTTCGAAAGATTCTACAAAATTGTAATTAATGGTATTACCTCGGGTATTACCATGGAGATAGAAAAACATTATGTATTTTTTTTCTAATTTCGTAATATTTGTTAGTAATTGTAAATATTCGTTGTACTGCCTATAATCACTCCCAGATATTTGATGCTTGAGTAGTAACTGGTTTTGAATTGTTAGGAAACTGAAGTCGGGAAGGGAGAATTTGTTGTTACAGAATGGTATGTAATACGTTTTTTCGATAGTGGGGATAAGTTTCTCATAATCAAATCAGCGTTTTTCCAGTGCCGGATTATTTTTTTCGTTTTCGTTATCACTGCAGAACTGAAAACGGGTGTATCATCAGCAAAGCTGATTATTTTTCCAGTATTCTAGTTTGAAAATAAACCGTTCACCTAAATACAGAACAGAATTGGTCCACAAACTGTACCTTGAGGTACCCCATATTCGATACTTTTTTTAAGGACAGAACACAAGCACTACAGGAACACCCTCAAGGTGCTCTAAGAGTGGTGCCTGTGAAATACATGATGTCGCAGAGAATGAAAGCTATCTTAATAGCTTAATAACAATTGCATTACCATAACGCTGTTAGGAGAGTTCGAATGTGTGACATTTTCAATTTGAAATGTATTTGAATACCCTCGGGTATAATAATTATTCTCTCCACAAGGAAAGAATAATTATTATGCGGCTTTGTTGGAAAATGTTTCAATTTCTATTTGAGGTTAGCATATATCTATCAATGTGAATATATTTGTTGAAATTTAAAAATATCACATTCAACACTGATCAAAAAGTACTATTGACGTTAATGCGATCTTAGAAAACTGAAATTTGCGAGCTTCATTGATTTCAATATTCAAAAGTTGAAGTTCAAATTCTTAAAATCATATTTCTTGTGCAAATTCCAACACCTGCTTTCTGTTTGCCTTATTTCTAATGTTGCCACTCACTTCCCAATTAACTCAGAAATTAACTTCCCTCTCGCTTCAGCAGTATGGCAGAATACTATAATTTCTGAAAAAAGAGAAGTCTGTTTAAACTCTAAGCATATTTAAGTGACACGCTACACTTCTTAATTATTGTTCAGCCCAGAATTAATATTTGAAGATCTTAATTTGGAAACCGCAGCGAAAACTACATCTAGTTTAATTTGACTGCGGCGAAAAAATCCTTTCAAAGTTTGGTGCGCAAAATTTATATTACGTCGAATATATATCTTTCGACGTGCTTCAGAAAGGGCAAAATCACAGTTAACTCCAGTTTCTGGCTGAGTGATAAATTATGCAATAACGTTCAATAGTGTGTTAACGCTGTGATGAATAAGTAATATGTTCAATTAATACAGGATGACCCGTTTTGCTCTACTCAATCGATTGGCATTTCTGTGTCAAATAGACTGTAACGTTCATCGTGAATTCTATTGTGGGGTTCACACAATTACATTCACATTCCACGTCACATCGGGTTACATTAAAAAAAGTTATACCAAATTTCAGTGAAAGGATAATCCAATTTCGAAGCAGCCTTCGAATAATGAGATTCTGAGAATACGAGTTACCTTACTGAGACAAAGGCTATATAAACGTCTTCTTACATCTACCGATGTTAAACATTCTCCCCGTTAATGCTGAAATCCAGGAACTATTCAATTCACTTGAGGAAATAATTCATTAGATTTATTTGTTATCAAAGTACTGAGTTAGTGGAGGACGATTCTCCCGTGAAAGATTAAACACGAAAATTCGAGGTAAAGCTGAATAACTATCGCGATAATTTTTATTCGAACTGATGAATCTGGGAAATAGTCAGATGAAATATCGGGATCATTTCCAATATCTCTGAAGTGATAGATAGTGAATGATTTCAAATGGATGCGGCAATAAATTGAATTTATTTCTGCGTTATCATTGAATATTTTGTTTTTCGAAACCCAGTGTCCACTCTATCTTCACGAGAAGTACTTTCCATTCTGCATGACTCAAAATATGGCTGGCTTGCTGCCAGCTGACCTGTCATTTATTGTTCGTGTAATTTTCAAAATTCTAACAATTACAATAGTTTTTGATGAATCCCTGCAAGAGTTTTTTATGTATTTCACCTCAAAAGTCATTTAAAATTATTAGTTTTGAAAAGTGTCTAATTTGTCTGGAGTAAATTTACACTTTTCTAATTCAGAAGCAATAAAAGCATATACTTTACATTTCCGCTCCGTCACGCAAAACCTGCTCGTTACTTTATTATTGAACTGATTGTAGCTAGTGGTTTGAAAGTAATTAAAGTCTTATATCTGCTCGAGAAAGTCTATAATTAGAAATGCGAGATGAAAGATCTAAAACTGAAAGGTATGACATGAATTCATCAAGCTTTCCCAGAATTTTTTTATCGACCCACCTGAATCCAATTCAGTGGAATCANTTTTCAGCATACGGGGTATACTTAGGGAACATTCTTTGTATCTAGTCGGATAACTATGTTCAATGTTTTTGGTGTTATATGCATTTCTGTGTTGGTATAATGCCAGATACAGAACAAATAACTGATGAATATCTAGTACTTCAGCATCTTTAAAAAGCTGATCACTAGAATATCTGTAACCGTTTCCAGTGATCACCTTTAAAATCCATTTTTGTGTGATTTCCAAGTGTCTCATATATAAATTCGTGGCTCCACCCCATACTATGATACCATAAATCAAATGAGTTTGTATTAAGGCATAGTACATTATTTTCAAATGTTTAATATCAAAAAATTTTTTTAAATATCGAAATTTGGGTAAGCAGTATCTTACTTTTTTTATGACATTTTCAATTTGATCGTTCCATTTTAGGTGGCAATCAAGATATATTCCTAGAAACTTAACTTTCTTATCTGATTTAATCAATATCATCTCATCTCCATGTTCAAACTCTATTTTCGTGAATGGGGGTAAGTTCGATTCATAGCTTGTGAAGGGTACATAAATGGTTTTTTTCAAATTTATGGTGAGTAATTTTTTCCTTAGGAAATCTACTACTATAGGAAATGATTTAATGATTTTTTGTTTCAGACTGAACCAGTTACTGTCCTTGAAGAATATAACTGTGTCATCCGCAAATGAACTTATTTCAGCATCTACAGGCAAGTTGAAAATATCATTAATATAAATTAAAAACAGAATTGGACCGAGAACTGTTCCCTGAGGAACACCATATTGAACATTTCTCTCCTCACTCATTATAGTTCCAATTTTTACACATTGTTTTCTCTGCATGGACAAACATGAATAAAAGTTTTCCTAATATTACAAAATGTTGTTTTACATTACCCTCATCAGAAAGTCTTATTTTCACATGACACACATTTGTTTAAAATCTGTTTTTCCGTTAACCAGCTGTCGCAAGTCGAAACTTGTGCGAGCTGAGGATTAACGAGGTCTTACCTTTTAACGTGTGATTCCTAACACGGGTTGGACGATAGCAGGTGAAAATCGATCGTTAAGACTAGGGCTTGAACCACCGACCAACACGGTAGTCAATTCGAGTGAGTGAACAAAGCACCCACGTCGAACCGCCTGGCTACCGACTGGCTATGACTGCGATTGTGATTCTTAAGATGTAGTAAAGTAAAAAAATTTGGGGGGCGCTAGAAAATAATTAATCCCCGAAGTGGGCGGTAGACAAAATAAGTTTGAGAACCTCTGCATTAGCTCTTGGATCTTATGTGGATTGGTATCGTCCCAAATCCGACAATTTTGTTTGTTCACGTACCCATTCATCCAGAAATGGGTCTTGTCGCTGAAGATGATTTTTTTATGAAAACTAGGGTCAGTTGCCAACTGCCAGAGTCCATTCAGTGAATACACGTCGTTGTATATAGTCGTTTACCTCCAGTTCCTGGGTCGATTAAATTTTGTACGGATGCAGGGTCAAGTCACGACGCAAAATTCGCCAAATTGTGGCTTGCGAAAGGCCAAGGTTCTTGTGAGTGACTCGAAATCGACTGTCTCGGCTTTTCCTGCACACTCTCACAGACAGCTGCGACATACGAGTGTTGGTCATATTGAACCAATGGACTCAAACTTATCCGACACATTGCGAAGGGTCCTCTCGATAGGACCATTATGGCCACCGTAGAATGAGCGAAACGCGCGGTACGTTGCCCGAACAGAACACTCATATATCATCCTTTTATGAAGTTGTTTCCAATATTACTCAGTGGATGAAGAAATCCCAAGAAAGAAAAACGTCGACAGAAACTTTGAAAAGAACAGTTTGAAAGGAACATTTCAGCAGTTATTTGCATAGCTGCGAAAATTGAACTTCGCCTTTTAACACTTAAGTTATTAATATATTAATACTTCCGGTAGTAACCATACATTAAATGTAGCAATACAGCACGTTGCTACTCGCACGTTAAACCGTCATTTCTGACGGTTATTCTTACACTTGATGTAAGTTGTACAATTAATTGAATAGTAATGTATTACAAAAGCAGCATTCTTATTGAAAGAAGTATTTATAATACAGTAATTATCACAACCTAAAAGATAGTGAATAATTTATAAGTAACGGGTTTATTTTATAATGAATCCTGTTGAAGAGAATCAATTTTCAAATGGCGTTTGAACTGATATCCAAATAAATTAAGCCAATTGGGGAGGAATGAATTGTATATTTTGACGGCTAAATAGGTGAAAGATTTCTGAAACAGGGCTGAAAAATGATGTGGTACATGCAGATGATATTTATTTCTTACATCTAATGAATGGAGAATCGACCTAGGTATTAGTTTTTTGTATAGATTCGAAAGAATTTGGCATTTCATTATTTTATACAGTAATAAACAGAAATTATTCTGTCTGCGGTTAGACATTGTCAACCATTCAAATTCAGCGATCTTATTAGAGACATGGTCGAATTTTCCAAATGAAAATATGAATCGACAACAGAAATTTTGTACTTTTTGTAATTTCGTCTGTTTCTAAGGCTCTGCGGTAATAATTTCTGTTTACAATGAGCCGACACTAATAGTTCTATGGATTTTCTTCATAAAATTCGGAGGACGGAATTCCTTTGGAATTAACTATAAAAATATTTATAATACTAGAGCACAAAGACAAAGCATTTTTCAACTAACACTAGACATCGCTGTCTCGACAAGCTATAGGCCTCTCTATGGGATAGACGGAAGACTCAATCCACGAAAATCGAAAATAAACGAGGATCTCAAAGGCGGTCCGTTGCAAATCCATGTTTCGACATCGACCGCTGAACGAGATTTCACTGCAGCTTTTACTGCAGTGTGAGTAAATGAAACCAGAGCTAAAGACACAGCAAGTATGATCGAATATCAGACCGACTCGCCATGAGTCTCATCAGTTGTTATGAGCTGAACCACGAATTTGTTGATGGACCAATAGATTGACTTAGAGCCTGGTGATCAACAGCTGTTTTGACCCTA